ATGAAAGCTCCACATGCGGCGGGGAAATTTAAGGCTGGCGTGCGTTTTGAGCAAAGGTGGCGCCGCCACACCGACCAGGTCATCTCCACGCTTCGCACGACCTCCGGACTCTAGGGCGCGCTCAAGTTCAAATTCTAGCGCTGCGGTGTCATTAGTGAACAAAATCAAGCGAAAAAGCGCCAAATGCCACGACAACGCTGGTTGCTTTTGCTCTATAAGTAGCCGAGCTCTGCGGCGTTCGATTTTCGAGAGAGACACACACATACACCCCGGCATATATAGGCCTGGTTCTCTGAGTCACAGTGCCGCCAGGCTGCTCCCCGCACATACACATACACATACACCTGCTCCTTGATCATAGAAGCAAGTTGCGTTGCTCTTCCATATACATACACATACACCTGCTCTTTGATCGAGAAGCAAGCACCGAGGCGATTGCCGCTTTGTCCGGGGTCTGAAGAAGGTGAGGCCGCATGGTGCTTCTCTAATCCCTACCTCCTGGTTCTCATCTTTGATCGACTAAATCAACGAGCTGCATCGGCAGCAACTCTTGGCGTCGATGGCGGCTGGCCTATGTCATTGCGGATGGGCGGTGCACGAGGGTCTTACCCGGTAAAAGGTAAAAGAAATGGTGATGGTTGCGCTTACGCGCATGGGCTGCAAGCCTTGGTAAAAGATCGATAGCAGTGCCATGACGCGCTTTGCGCATGGGCGATATGCCCGGTGAAGGTGTAAAAGGCAGCAAATATGCCTCGGTGAAATGCGGGTTTGGATGCGTTTTGGCTCCACCCAGTTACGTTCATGGTGAACTTTCGGTTGGACGCGATCTTGGCTCCAACCCGGTTAAAGGTTCATGGTACAAAATTGGTGGACGCGCTTTGGCTCTACCCGGTTCATGGTAAATTTGATATGGACGCGAATCGGCTCCATATCTAAACAAATCTACATGTGTTTTGGCCACGGCAACGCCGGCCCGTTCTTATCATGCATCAAAGAAAATAAAGAACTCGCATGCTACTGCCATGAAGAAAGATCATGCATGTGTTTAATTAAATCAACAAGAACACCTGCCATGGGATGTACGGGAGAAGACCAAATTCAATACCAAGTGCTGTCACGACAAAAATGGTCGCGTTCTGCATATATATTTGGTTTCTGGCTAGTTAGCATCTTCTGCACCAATCAACTAGCTAGCATCCGCATCGCATGCTACGTCCTGTATTCGTGCATTACACCAGCATGCACTTCACGGGCAATCATGATAAAAAGCAAATCTTGCACTCAGCTAAATTGCGTCTATGTGTAGTAGTCCCCCTGCCAAAATCACCGGCTACCATGCAAAGCCAGGTGACATCTGCATGTCTGCAAAGAAATTAAAGATCACATACAAATTAGCATTGCCTTCTGGTCTAACTACATGCACGCAAACAATACTTTGCATGTTGCACAGCCATGACCTTTGTCAATGGCGTCTTAATCAATAAATAAACAAAACTCATATTGCACTTCTCCACGTAATGAATAGGTTACGGTTATTAGTGCATTTCAGTCAAATAAATAAGCTATGACGTTCATTACATGCAAGTAAATAAAAGTATATAATTAAAACAAAAGAAATTATACTTTGTATGCATAAAAACATGTCGGTTCATTACATGCTGCCTTCTCCGTCTTGCATGAACGGCGGCATGATCAAACCGCCTATACCACATAGACAAAGCCAATTAGTGTTGCATCAAAATCAACACGGCTATGCAGTGAAAAACTCAAATAGCCACTCCCATGGTCTTGACCTAATTAAAATTAGGAAGCAGATAAGAAAACCTGCACACCATGTCATGGTCATGCCAGGGAATCAAATATGTCTAATCATGCATTAGATGAAATTACTCCATTTTAAATTACGGCTAGACCATATAAATAAACTTAAATAAATTGATTTCATCGTATCAAATTCTATACCATGATCGCCCATGCTAATTAACTTGCTGCGGCACCAGGGTTAGAATAACCAAAATGTCATGAACATCGATATAGACTCAGCTAAGTCAAATAAGCATTGTCATATTTATCATAATTCCAGCATAGGCCTTCCAAGTGCCATGCATATAATGGATAAATTAAATATTGCATCTTAGCTTGATTGTATCCATGAATGCTCATGCTTAGCCAAGTTGTTAAAAAGGGCAAACCAAATTAAATGTAATCATATAGCACCGTGCATGCGAATCCCTGGCCAAACGCCATACCATGAGTGTGCATGTTAACTTTGATAAAATGAATTAATTACACGCTCCCCGGCCGAGCTAGGCATTGCAACATATCTTTTGAGCCTTAGCAAGGTCAAAATATGTTGTCTTAGCCTAAATAAAATATTACACCAAATGCTGAGTGCATCCATGAACATGCATATCAAAACATGCTAAATCATGATCTTAAATGATCCAAAAAGACTACGTCAAATTTAGTCTGCAAAGTAAATTACGTGCATACATACATGACAATGCACCAAAGAAATGTGTATCACTCAAACAAATCAGTTTCTCTTAGCTGACATATATGCGTGTTGCACCATATAGTGTATAAATTAAATACATGTATATCATGGTGTGCTAAGAAGCTAAACACGCTATCAACCAATCATATAAGGAATATATGTTACTCCTCGACAAATGAATTCATGTCATGTTTAATAAAATGACAATCGTCAAGTTCAAGTTTATGCCAAGCATACAAATTCGTCCATCTGCAGCTACAAGACCGAAGACTTTGTTTTCTTTTGTAGTTTGTAATAGGAAGCCATATGATGTAATCTTATTTTTCATGTACTCATGTTGGAACTCTTAATCAGGGGTGTTCTCTTCGGAGATGTAATTAACATAATTTTTATGCAAATATAAGAATTATGGAAGTATGGACTTGCAATACCTGTTCTTTTTCTTTTGTTCCAATTAAATTTAACCAAAACCAAATTTGTCTCTGCTGACGCGGAGGCGGGTCATAGCCACCCGTTTCCCCGCTATCAGTTGTGTTCAAAGGACTAGAGCCCAGTGTTGATCGTCAGATTGCTACCTGCAAGGAAGCCGTTGAGACTTGGAGTTGTAGGCTTCCATGAGGAGATCACGCCATCGAGAGCAACCGGAGAAATTCTTTTAATATGTAATCTCTACCCCATCCCAAACTTGCTGATTACCTGTTGTAAACTTGAAGGGCATAGGGCTATGCCCTGTCCACCCCTCGGGCAACCGGTATCTGTGGAATGAAATCAGGTGGGGATTATTCTTAACCCCCCCAAGGCTTGACCTAAAAAGACATTTTTCACTAGTAATGGTTAGTGACCGTAAGATTGATGTATAATGCGTGGATATATTGCTTGAGCCTCTTGGGCTGATTATATAGGAGTACATGGCTTCGAGGGAAAGTAGCCTCTCCCAGGATTACAATCAATCCTAAACTAACTATATCCGGAGTTGCCTAATATACTCTAACATCCCCCCGCAGTCACAACAGGAGCGCGCAGACGATGAGACTCGAGAATAAGCCGAAGAGATGACATCCCCCCGCAGTCGCAACCGTCGATGTGCCGCAGATGTTGTGGCTGGAATGGGAGCCGAAGAGGCTTGTCAAGCAGATGGTAGCCCCTTAGTGCCGAAGTAGCCGAGGTCGAGGTGGACGTGATCGAAGCCGTGGAGGAGGGCGCGGGTCCGAAGCGTCAGCGAAGGTGCCCGAATACACAAAATCAGCAGCTTCTTGCCGACAGGGTCAGCAGGACGATAGGGCGACTGCGATGGTAGATGGTGCAGCTAAAGAGCGCAACTGCATCTTCCTTCAACAATATCAGCGACGGTGTCCGTGAGCGTGCAGCAATAGACGCGGACTCGGACCGAGAGCCAGCGTGACGAGGACCAGCAGCATGGGTGGCGCCACCGCCTGAAAAGGCGGCGTCGCCGGCAAGGATGGCTGGATCATGAGCGTTGCCGTAGCAGCCTGAAGGGCACAACGACAACCTCGTCTTGGGGTACAATCTCGGATGCCCCTAGCAGTGCCCCATCCCCTCCCTTATCTCTTCCCAGTTCAACACGGACAAAGGGGAATAGAAATCAGGGACAGGAGGAACCGGCCGTCCAGCGGCCGAGCAGCAGGGGGGCAGCGAGATGGGGCCCCCACGGCGCGGCAACCCGCCAACGTGGCGGAGGAGCAGTGCGATGGAGGGTGCGGGGTGGAGCAGGCCAGGCGAGGCACCACAACCCGGCGACAACGACATCAGACGGCGTGGCCGGGCCGCCGCCCCGGCGGCTCCAACGACGGCTGCAGGCGGCGCGGCTGGACCGGCGAGGGAGGGGCATGGCGCGGCCGTCGGACGCCCCCAGTGGAGCGACGGTCAGCTCAGCGCCTCTACGGTTCTCCGCAGCCACGCACTCGCGCTCAAGTGCAGTAGGATTGTGCTCAAGGGCAGCGGTGGTGGCAGCGCTGGAGGAGTAGATGGGGACGCAAGGCCAGACGCTCGACAGTGGCGGCGAAGACGGCGGCACTCGCGGTGGATCCTGGCAGCGATAGGAGAGGTAGGTCCTTCTGTTGTTGGTTGACCACGACGGCGCCGCGGATCAGAAGGATCGGTCGCGCATCCTACGAGGGCGCTGCCCCCGGTGGAGATCGATCTCCCCGGGGGCGGCGCGAGGGCAGCGGAAGCCGGAAGCCTAGGGTTAGAACCTAGACTCATGATACCATGTAAGATTGATGTATACTGCGTGGATATATTGCTTGAGCCACTTGAGCTGATTATATAGGAGTACATGGCTTGGAAGGCAAGTAGCCTCTCCTAGAGATAAGGAAGGTTATCCCAATAACCATATCCGGAGTTGCCTAATATACTCTAACAGTGACAGCACTACACCAAAGCATACACTACACATGATGGATCATTGTAAAAATTGCAACAGCTACTCTACTATGGCTTTCTTTGGGGGGCTAGAATTATCTACGCAGGTCTGAGTTATATGCTAGCTGGACTGTTTCTCCAACTTGCGCTTTTTCCTGCGAGACAAACATAATATACGTTACATGTTAGAACATAGTAGAAAGAAATACGCAACTAGCTGGAAGGACGAGCAAGGATTTCTAGCCTAGTCAGGACACCCACCTTCTCTGAAAATGGTTTTGCATCGGCTTAACAATATCACCATTGCGCTTGCTACCTTTCTCTCCCTCCTCTTGATGATCATGCTCAAGTGAACCATTTGTTGGACAACCTGGAGACTGAGCACGGGGGAGGACACAACAGATAGCAAGATGTCAGTTCGATATAACTCATGTAACACCAATTATGCTTTTTTATGTGTCCCACTATTTTTATCCAGATGGAGTGGATGGAAAGTGAGGGTTAGACATGTTTCAGGCTGAATTTGACAAACATCAGAAGCATATTGATGGTAACTAACAGAAAGGATTTGAAACTTACAGTTCTCGTGTTTTGATGGCAAGATAAATCTTTGCCTGCGGCCGGTCCTCTCACTTCATCATGGGTCTGAAGAATCGAGTTGTCAGCAGCTGGACAAATTTTACAGAGCTGGAAGAACAGATTAACTGGATCAGGTAAGTAGAAGCTTTAATGTGACCAGGCATGTGAAAGCAATGGGTTTACTAACATTGAAGCACTAGACAAGGTAGTCAGCATCTCTAATGTGCATCACACGCTAAATTTGGATTACCTGCTTGATAATTCGGTCTATCACCTCATTCAGAGTAAAAAGTACATAGGATCTCGGCCCAAGGATTGTCAGGCAGTACTTCTCAAAGTTGGAACTGTTAGTAGAGCCCGTTATTAGGTTAAAGAGCTCCTCCTTAAACCTACATCAATCAACGGAAAAAGAAAAGTGAAGTTAGAACCAACTGTTACTTTACAAGTCATGAATAATTATGCACAGATGCATAAGGTAATAATCCTGGACATTACCCTGCATATAAATCACTGGTGTGTGAACCTCTCTTGGAAGCTTCTGCCGAAAGATTCTTTGCTACTACTAGCCTCTCATACAAAATCTGTCATACAGGAATAATAAATAAATTGTAGTGCCAACAATTATAAAGGTTGATCAGTTTTGTCCAACACAAAATATGGTACTGCAGAATTCAGATTTCTTCTAGCACAATCTTTATTCCTTCATAACATATACACTAGTATTGGCATTGAGCTTGCCAACACAAATAAAATCATGGTCCATTTAACAAGGTAAATGCTGAAATACCTGGTGAAGCCTTAAGAGCACAACCAGAGAACAACAAGGTACGCTGCCTTTCACATCATACAGTTCAGCTGTTCTTTTGGAATATGCTGAACTGCCCATTTCAATGTTGTAGCCTTCTCTTGATTCATAGTGCACTTCAGATTTATTACTGTGGTCACAATTACTATGGCCTGGGCACTGAGAACTCAACCCAGCCCCACTGGGAGCAGCAACATCACAACTTGCTGCTCCGTTCCCATGTCGAAGCAAGGATCCAAACTGGATGTTTCCTACATCAGGTATGAACTCACCATCCTCAATCTCAGTCTGACAAGCGTCAAGTATAGAAGCAGACTTATTGGACGTATTTAGAAGATATCCACCTCTCTGAGATGAAAAGTAACAGAAACCAGGTTATCTTTACTCCACAAGCGCAGTGAAGTGTCCCTGTGGGGTAAAAATTTGTTCTGCATGTTTGAATTCAAATGAATCTGAAAGAACATAGTATTATATACACATGCACATACCTTTGAAGATAAAGAAAAAATATTAGCAAGCGAAGAGTCAGGGATACTCCTGAGAAAAGTTTTGCTGAGACCACAATGTTCACAAGCTTCTTTTGGAGCTACAGTGCCATTCGATTCTTGTAATTGACAACTAATAGAAACAAATGGCTGAACTAATGTTGTCCAAATCATCATCAGCTTCTGTTCAGAAGGACAACTTTTGCATGCATAACGAACCATCCTGTCTATGTCCTTATGGATATGAAGATTAATATCTTTAAATACATTTTCCGAGATCAAAGTTGATTGATTGTTGCAAGCAGAAAGATGTTTATACCCATTGTTCAGCCTTGCCATGTTGATTTCTCTAGCTTCAGCAAGCAACGCTGCAATTGAAATGCAGATGAGAACATCGAATATTAAAAATATGTAAAACTTTGATGACTCAATGCAACTCAGATTTAGCATAACATAATACTAATCATATGTATCTTGTTGAGTTGTTGGACATCGACAATACCTTTTGGGCTCATCCTCCTTTTGTCCAATTGTTTGAAGGAGGAGCTGCGATGATCAAGTGATCTGTAGTAATTATTGGCAATAATATTTGAGCATGCTTTATTCAAAGATGACTGTGCCTCTTTCAAATCTTCTACCTTCTGGTTTAAACGAGACTGTAGAATAACAAGAGCTATACTGGTATCAATTTTCTCCAACAGAGCATCAAGCATGTCGAGGCCATGTTCATCATATAATTGTTCAATGCATCTCCTATGTAAGGCTTTGCACAGAACAAAAACAAAGGAAAAGAAACAACAGTTAGTCAATTTAAAGAAAAAACTTGACTCCAAATATTCTCCATGATATAACACTCTTACAAGTTAGATGCTCTTGAATTTTCATATCTTTGTCAACTTGCAGATTTCTGATAAAGTCAGCAGTTGCTGTGTAGCGTTGCAAAAGCATGTCACTCTCAAACCTAATGAAAAAATAACACCATTATGTAAAGAGGGGACATCATAAGATCATTGACCAGTCACTATTCCGGTGAGCAAGCAAAATGTCACCTATATTCAAATAGCTGATAAAAGACACACTGAAGCAGATGAACAATTGGTTACTTACATGTCGTCTTCACATTTGAAAATATTTTCTTCATAATGATTTTTAGTTCTGAACTTAAAGCAGTCCTCACTCCCTGAGGTAGAAGAAACCAACGTGTCATTAAATACAAACTGTCCCAGCTCAGTGCGGTAGCTTGTTTTTAGAGTCAAGCACTGCATTGAGAATGATCAAGTAAGAATTGGTTGTCAATGGGTTGAAATGGGGAGATGGGAACAGTATGAATTTATAGGAATTTATTTACATTCTTCGGTAATAGGGAGTAGCTAGTAGAGAAGCGTGTGAACATATCCGGGTTCACTTTTGGGGGTAGTTCATTTTCTCTTGACGGACTCCAGCATGGTAAGGGATCAATCTTGTCTCCATCATTCTCTTCTGCATGAAGTGATTCTCCATTACCTATCAGAGATAAGAAAACAGAATTTCAATGCAATGGGTATGCTTATAAGTGGAAACTACACAAAGCATTTAAGTTTCTAGTATAACACATGCTTCTATTGACACACTAGAACATATATGTATGTATAACAGAATGTATGTATAACAGAACTGCCCCCACCTTCAGAAAACATATAAACAAACTTCTCGGTGTGAGATTAGCATGTCCTAATTATTGTTTTTATTAGAAATTAGGGATACAAATTGAACTTTTAACACATGAGAAAACTGACACACCTCTTGTAGATGTTTGCAAGAAGTCAGAGATGCACGGAGTACCTGTTGCTTCGTTACCATCCAAGCTATGATTTGCACTATGATTTTCATCTGGAGTAATGCATAAAACCTGCTGCGCAGGAAAATTTAGAAATTGGTGATATCATCCAAGCTCAGAAGAAAAGAAAACTGATACGATTTGTTAAGAAAAAAAAAGAGTTCTATGTTTCTTTTGGTTGGTGAACAACACACCAATACATGAAAAACAAAGAATCTATGAGCCCTGGGGGCTTGCGATATGAGCCCCATGTGGTCGGGAACACATAGCAAATAGTGAGAGATGCAATGCATTACCTTGCTAATACTAATATTTGGACTTCTGCAAGGTTGCTCATTCGATAGAGGTGGAGGCAGATAAGTTTCAAAGGTTTGAAATAATTCTGGACAATGGCGCATATATTTCTTTACCTACAAAGACAAATGGTTGTAAAATGACTGTCCAATTGTTCTCGACAAACCACCAAGAACAACAAACACCTTTAGGTAAGTCTCTTGATTAGTGATCTTTTTTGTCATCGACTCAGACAAGGTGACCAAAAAATCTCTGTAATCTTCATTAGATATAGATGATGAATCCTGCAAACACAAAGTAAGCAAATTGTGCATCAAGTAAAAACAGCCATGGACACCAAGCCATAATAACTCAAACAAGGAGCAGACGTGTACATCACCTTCACTTTGTCCATGAAAGAGAGTGCATGCCGTAAAGGGTGGTCATCCTTGGAGGGATCACCCGCTTCGACGAGGTGCCGGAAGCCTTCTAGGACACGAGTTTGGCCAACAAACACTTGAGATAGGATTTCTTCGCATTTTTGCACTGTGATTCCACCTTCAGGATTTGAACTGCAACAGAAGAGAAGAACATATGTAACCAGGAATAAAAGGGATGGTTCAGAGAGTGCAGGTATACTATACGCCTATACCTTTGTTCAACAATCTCCCGTGCTGCCTTGACGAGTTCCTTGTAAGCACGCTCGCTCAGTTTGGCCTTAGCAAACATGAGGAACCCCACAACCTCCTGACCATGCCTCTCAAGCAGCCTATTGAGCCGTTCTTCACCACCGGCTTCCTCCATCGTCCTCAGGCAACCTACCGCTGCAGCAAATACGCAAACACCTGCGCGGCACAAAAAAACCTGATTAGCGCGGTAAGGTCGAGGAGCACTACACCCTCTATACCTTCCGTCCCCTATTTGCAATCCGTGGCAATCCAGTAGAATTCCAGTCCTAGGCGCGGGGACAGCTGCACGGATTCAACGCGGTGAACCTGAAGCGCGCTTCCGATTCTACCCGTGACGCCACGAGCGCCAAATCGCTACGCGGAGCTTCCGATTCTACTCGTGACGCCGCAAGCCGGCCGTTCAGGCGCGCTGGGCGAGATGGATAGAGGTGGGAGAAGACGAACGTACCTTGTACTGCGGAGAGACGAGGCTTGGAGATGGACGAGAGGACGCAGGAGAGCGGCGGTGACCTTCCTAGGGTAGGAACCCAAAGTCCAAACCACCACCGACACCGGCGATGGCGCGACGGCAGAGGAAGAGAGGAGGAACTAGAAAGCGGATGAGCTAATTGCGCATTTAAGCGCACGAGTTCTGTGGGCCGGATCTGATTGATTCACCGATTCGTAATAGAATTCAGATAGGATGCAAGCCGCACGGGCCTGCCTCGCAAAAATATAAAAGGCCCACTGGACAACTGCTAGTAGACTGATTTGTCTCAACGAATTTGTTTTGATATAATATTATTTAAATAAATAATTATAAATTTAGATGCCACTTTTAAGAAATTGCAAATCTAGGATCGTGGTGTGCCGACAGGGCTTTATCACCTTCTCTACCACCCTTCGAATGGACTTTCCTTTTTTTGTTTTTTTGTTTTTTTTTCAGCTCGTCTAAATCAATTTGCACACCGACTTATTTATCCTATTACCACTAATCCAAATCCTAAGAAGCTTATTCCATGGGTATGCTATTCTAATATGACTAGGAGAATATCCCGTGCGTTGCTACGGGGATTCCCGATAATTTAGAAAGAAATTAGACTATTTATATTTATAGTTATATGAATAAAACTATCTTAAATTAATTTTTGTGAATAGTTTGAAACATCGATGTGGACAATTAAATGCATATTGATGGATGAAGAGATAACTATCATAAATATATGTGCTAATTGGCTATAATTGCAAGTTCTAGTGAATTATTGATATGGATAGCTTACATATTGAGAGAAATATCTAGTAGAATTTAGCTTTATAAGAGTATATGATTCTATAAATTATTTTTAAATTAAGGACTATACATTGAAACTTGAAGCATGATAAATTCGTAAGGGTGGTGTGACACAAGTTTCGGCGTACTCAGGATGTTTTGTTTTTCTTTTTGTTTACACCAAATTTTTAGAATGGATCGTGAAAATCACGACGCCGGCGGCATCGGCACAGGCGTAACATAATCGGACTTTGCCATAAAGGAAATCGTGGAGTTCAAATTAGATTATTTTCTTTTTTACTCAAGAATTGTCTAGGACTCTGTATCGGCCCATGGTACAAATATAGACCTCGACTACTGTAACATTTTTCATCTCTCGATCAATACACAATCTATTTTTCCAGCTTCACACCATCGCATTAGGAGTAGGAGTAACGTAATTCTTGGCGAGTTCTTCGGTAGGCTACATCGGTAGGCTACATCATTTGGTCTCTTACTAGATTTGGTATTAATCAAAGTTATCGGTTCTATTGTGTTTAGTAACGCTGCATCTTGTGATCCAGTGTTTAATAAGGCTGCATCTTGTGAAGGCTGTGGTGGTGCAACCAGCCATGTTTGTTTTCCTAGATGAGAATGAGTCAGCATGTGGTCGGAGGTCGCCAAAGAGTCGTCGGAGAGAGAGGGGAAGTCGCCGCTCCAAGATGGAGCCTGCGTGCACTCAACGACGGGGTTGGTGGCGGGGGAGGCTTTTATGGTAAAGAAAAAGGAGGTGACGCTGCTCGCACACGATGTGCCTGCTACAGCCGAGCCCGGCAGGAACGAAAGAATTTTTCATTTCTCCAGGGCCAGGGCCAGGCCTAGGGGTGCTTTGAGGGGCATGCCGGCCTGGCTCGTGAACTGGTCCAAGCAAACAATCAACCTGGGTTGCACCCCTGGGCTCAATGGCCCATCTGGACTAGACAAACAAACACCCCTTTACTGATCCAACTCGTCACTCTCGCAAGTGCTCGTAAGGCTAAGGTGTGCGTGCATGCATTTATAAGAACTAGCATGGTGGGCGCGCTCCGCTGCGCCTGCTTTGGCTTTGCACGTTAATGATTAGTAGGTGGCTGCATGGCCCCATTATATAAGGTAATAAAAATTTCTTCGAGGTGCTGTTGTATGGAACGGTATGCAAGAGAGCATGGAACTGTCTGCAAGAGAATATTCAAAAAAATTTACCATGCTTATTTGACATCATTGAAGACTAAGTATATCATTTCAGCGGTAAGTATATCAATTAGCGAAGAAAAACATATACCAATAAGCAATTAAGCAGCATTAAGTCCATGGTGAGAAAGTCTCAATTGGATTACATTAAACTAAAATATGGTCTCAAACTACAGAGTACCTGAGACATGATATAGCAATAAACTAAAAATAGTCCTCTCATTCTTTCTGGGAAAAGGTAAAATTATTCACTATGTTCTGACATGGATCTTCTATATAAGGTATTGGTGGAAGTTCACCAAAGATACATACACTCACTCCGAAGTTTCGTTCGGGTTACTGCTTTCTAAGGTTGATTTCATTGCCTTCTCCAATGGTTGGGCCTAAACAAATGTTAAAATGTCAACTGGTCTCATGGAATGTTCAGATAGTGCTCAAATTCTTCTTCACCTTTTCTTAGGAGAGGTTTCCGAAGTATTACGATTTGCACAACGACAGAGTGTAGAATCTCTTCAATGTCCTGAAGATCCTGATGCAAAAGGGAAAAAGGCCTTACAGTTAGTACATGTACAAAGGAGTGGCAGCAACCTCAGATAGGTGAAAGAGCGTCACATATCTTTTCACTAACTACACACAATTTTGCCAATGCTGAGGCCATTGTTTTTAGTGAATAAAATAAAGGTATGGGAAAACTGCACTATAGGATAAGGAGGCAAGCTATACCACAGGAGTAATTCTACGGATCCAATATCAAAGAACCAATCACCAACAGAGGTAATTTTTAAGTGAAGTTCACTGTTTTTATCTTTGTTTTCTTCTTAGAGACGACGCATAGATGTGCAGTTTTTAACTGGGAGGCATAGATGTGAAGTCCATCAAGCATGGACACATGGAAGGACGTCCCCTTAACCCAAAAACCTCAAAAGAGCACAACAGAGCAAAGAAAAATGATTAGCACTTACTTACCAAAGGTCATGGCCTCTCGTTTCATTCTAATGCTGAGAGCGCATTGTAGCTGGCAAAAATTTTAGTTGGGTTACATAAAGCATTGAACTATGAACAGCTAGCAACATGTATGGTGTGATCTGAATCATTACTAAATCACATAAATATATGTGTGGGAAGTAGAAAGAAGCATGAGAAGATGTGCTTTCCATTCCATTATCATTTAGGAGTTGGGACAACAAAAATATGTAAAAAAGAAGATATGTGAGAGGGAGCCTCAGAACAGTCAGGTAACCACAGCATGCAATGGACAAACACCATCCTTTGCAAAAAATGGAAGGCACATACAGAAAAGAATATAGGTAGGAGGAGAGGGTTGTGGCGGAAGCCTTGAAGGAAACAGCATTAGATAGAACTCACTGCCTAAACCATTAAACCAAAACAATCAGCAACCTGAAGGTTGTCATGTCAAGTTGTGAACCATGAACAAATCATATAAATATGTGGGAAAATGGAAGAAGCATGAGAGGTCGTTCTTTATGTTTCGTTATCAATTAGGAGCTATGACAATAAAAAAAATCTGGAAAAGAAGGGAAGCAAGAGCTAGCCTTAGAAATAAACAAAATAGCATCATTGGATCTCTTGTAGTTGGGTAAGCACAACATGCAATTAAGAAATGGCATCCATTGCAAAAATACAAGGTGTGGGCACATACAAAAAAGAATAACATAGATAGGAGAGGGGTGTAGTGCCAAGTCTCGCAGGAAATTACATTGACATAACCCAGGAAGGGAATGCTATATGGTAAATAAATAGATCAGCAGTATATGTAGACCCATGATTAAATAAGCAAATCAATTGTACATATAAATCCATGAACATGTTGTGAACCTTTCAAGATCATCAACCCATATAACCAAGTAATATGAGAAGTCATCTTCATCACAAGCTTTGCAACAGCAAATGTTTTCATCACCTTGTCACTTGACAGTGTGACCTGACTATATACGACCCATCCAAAAAAACATTATGTTTCATATGCACAGAGCACCTAAATCTGTAGTTGTTGTGGCAAGCTCGGGCTAGGCGTATCGAGTAGCAGATTAGAGAGAGAGAGGCTGGTGATCCGGAGGTAGTGCGGCGGCGAGGCAGCGACGCCGAGCTCGGTGTCGCCCACGAACAGGGGGAGCGGGAGAGATTGTAATCAATCTCCAGCTAGCGGAATTAACCAACGTTTAGGCTTTATAGCTTGAAGCCTAACAACCGCAGAGACGAATCTAACAAACCGAGCTAACAAAACGCGAGTAACAAATCTGACTAACCAAAGATTAAAGACTAGGAACGGGCCATAGGGCGGTGACCACGCACATCGCAGCGTCTCTCGCGATGCTAGCTAGCCTCTCGCTTTGCTTCGTCCCCATAGGTAATCGTTGCCGTCCATAACACTTCTCCCCCCCTCAACAAACAGCTCGTCCTCGAGCTGGGAGCAAGGGTGCGCCGCGCGGAACGTCTCAACGGGCTTCCATGGTGCGTCGGACTCGGACAAACCCGCTCGAGGGGCCGGCACTTGGAACGGCGAAGGTGCTTGGAATGGCCGCAGAGGGCCTACTTGGACGGGATCGTTGATGCGGGCACCTGTAAGGAGCCGGAGGTAGGAGGCCACTGTGTCCATGCGTGCCAAGGTGTGGTCTTGCCTTGCAAAACCCAATGCC